CTTGGGATAGTGGTCATGGGTTATTACATGAACATCCTCAAATATAACACAGTACTTTGCCTGAATTGATACACAAAAAAAATTGCTATATAGTCATATACTCACATGATTCAATTTCATGTTGCTTCAGGTTAAAACAAGCCACACTTTCATGTGTTTGAATACAATTCCCATGGCTGTAGTTTTTACAGTACATTTATGCATAGCCTAAATCACTCCTCTGCATAAAGATTTATGGAAAATAAGGGTGTTGGAGATAAAAAATAACACACCTTCTTTCCTATCTTTTTCCTAGAGTACACCGATTTTCATCTTCCAATACAATATGTAAAAAAAAAATAAATAAATCCATATTGCCATTCGTTCTCCACAAATTTTACCTTTTTAATACAGCTAAAAGAAAGAAAAAACAGGACTGAAAATGGATTCTGATGAATTATTATTCTTCCCTGGACAACTGTGGCAATATATGGGAAAATGTGTGTGTATAGAAGACTGTTAAGGGAAAATCATCCTTCCAATGACTTGTATAGAAACCATTGATTTCTTCTTCATTTTCAATCTGCCGTTAAGTTTCAAAAAAAGCGTACCATTTAAGTAGGAAGGGACAACACAACATTTATTTCTAGCATTTCTGTATTTGTTTTGCTCATTTTTAAGACTATGCTATAAGCACAAGTCCAAACTTGGCAGGCAGTGTAAATTTGTTGAGTACGGGCACGCACTCTAAGTCAGACTTCGGTTGGTCCAGCATGAATTCCTGAAATCACAGTATAAGGAGAATCTTTTCCTTGCTAACGTATTCAAATACCATCATCCACAACAAAAAAATTTATGCAACTGAGTGGATGTGTCAGGTGCCAGGATCTGCAGAAGGAAAGGGATGGCTGTGCTATTTTGTCACCACCAGTTCCAAATAAAAGGAGACAAGGCAAAGAAAAGATATACCATGAGACACAGGATATGAACTCTACCAGTGATCCAGAAAGTGCTGTCATTATCTCAACACAGCAGCAGGGAAGAACATTACGACTGATATGGAACTATAATATGGATATTATAGCTGATATGGAACTAATCTGTACCCTATTACTCTGAATGAAGCTGTAAATTTTGAGAAGCCTTTGACCACTGTGTAAATGATGGATGCTACAGCAGGGAACCAGTAACTCTGCCTCCACACACTTTCCACAAGGACATCTGTACATATTGGGCAAGATTCTGCTCATGCCTGCAAAACCCAAGAAATTATCACAGTACTTGCCTTTTTGTATTTTTTTTAAATTTCTACAACAGTAACTCACACATGCCACTGATTTTATTTTATTTTTTAAAGTAGATTCAAGCAAAAACTAACTCATCTGCAAATAACTTGAGTTCTTCAAATACATCAACTCCAGATAATGTTACTCTTGGATTCATGCTATTTGTGAATTTAGCAGTTAAGACTTCTGTCAGTTCAAATGACTCAGGGCATGCGCATGACAGCACAGAACCCTGCCAAAACAACCCAGTGGCAGTGGTTCATGCCTTCTGCTCCTGTCCAGCTGACCAATCCACAATACAGAAACGCACCGAGAGTCAATAAACTAAACCATATCTGCCCTACCAGGCAGCTTTTGCTGCATGCGCCAAGTTCCCTTCATTGCAGGATTTGCTCTGGAGAGTGACAGCGACAAACTGATGCAACATGTTAGCAGCACTGAACACTTTTTGATCACCCGTCTTATTTCCTGATATTATTCACCGAGGATATGAATTTATAATTATTACTTTGTAAATAGATATGACTGGAAAACAGATTAAGCACTCAAAGGTTTCTGGGCCTAAAATACATAAAACTGAAAAGATAAACAACAATGTTAAATGGGTTTCCATTGTGAATCTATGTAATTATAGACTAGTCTTTACTTAACAGATTTGCTTCTTGTGTATACATCAACCCTCATCAAAGCCAGAAAGACCCTTACTATACAATTTCATTAGCTCCCCATTTTAATGAATGTGCTATTTACTCATAAGGTTCCCAATCCATTGCAATATCTGGATTCTCTCTTGGGTCTCTCACGTTTAAAATTTTCTGTTATCTGCCTTTGATGATCCTTCTGATGGTGATGCTATTATGTAATTCATGCTTTTGTAATCTTATAATTAGGGAATGGATGCACCACACAAGTTTCGAGGTAAAGTAGAATGTTTTTGAACTGAACAGCAATACAGATTTCACATTTATGCCCTGTATTACCCCAGTTCTGTTGTCTACTGAGTTCAGGACGTCATGCTGGTCTAGACACATCCAGGTGATTTCTAGACCTTGTAACCTGAAAGGCTGGTTCCAGATCTGCAGAGGCAGCTGATTCCGAGACAACTTGGCTTAAAAGGAAAAAAACTGCATCTAAGTAACATTTTGTAAGGTCTTAGAGCTCTCCTCCCAGACTCTAATTCTGTGATTTTTCTGTTCATCATGTTACATTTATTTTGGAAGGGATTGGCAAAACTTAAGAACAAAAGAGAAGTAATAACTGAGCAGCACCCCATGACCGCTTGGAAAAAGAGGGCCTAGCCATTATACAAGCATTTTCAGATAGGAGACACGTCCTCTTTGTTACCAAATCTGCTGCATAGTTCCTCTGTGGTGCTGAACATAACTTTCTCAAAGCCTCAGCTCTGGGTCTGGAAGATGAAGACAGCAGCACTTCCCATCTTTTTGTTTATTGTGGCAAACAATGCACCGAAATCAATAACAGGTACACAGCCGCATGTTGGGATGAGAAGTTACTACGGGTCATGGCTGCAGTTAAGTAATGGGTGAAATATAAAAACAAACTAAGAAACAGATTTCCTTCCCCAAACATCCATTTTGGAGTGTGCATTATATGAAGGCTCTTTTTAGAAGCACAGCTTTATATACAAAAATGACTGGGATTTTATCTGTATTAGAAGCATTTTATATTGCAGTTACTTCATTTAAGATTTTCATATTTCTTTTCCTTTTACCCTTCCAGCCAGAAGCTTCTCCTTAAAAGTCCTTCAAAAGGTGGAAAAGTCAAACATGATACTTCACTGCTTGCTAGAAAACAACTGCAAAAAGTCCTAGCTTTCATCTTCCTCAGTTTCTTTATTTGCCAAGCTACGTGCAAGCAATTTTACTTCATCTATCGTTATATATGTAACACAGGATGGGTGCAGTTATTTCATAGTCCCTCCAGTTCTTTAAATGATTATCTCAGGTAACAGATTTACCTTCACATCATCATATACGAGAAGGATAAAACATTAGCACCTCTGATCAGACTGATTATTATTCCTCTTGGTTTTCATTTTCATAGCAGAAGGGGAATTTTCAACAGCTACCTTCTACGAGCAACACTTTTTGAAAGATCTCAAAGACATCTTTGTACCCAATTTTTACTTTATTTTTTGCACCCAATTTTATTTTAGTTTTTACCACTATGTTTTAGTGATTCATATAGATTCTCAAAGCATTGTTTCTGGGTGTCAAGAGCAGATTGCTCATACGAATTTGAATCTCACAATATAAATGAACGCAGACCAGGACCAAAGGAACTACAAGTTACCATAGTTCTGAATAAGCTCTCAAGCACACTCCCATTGTCTAACTTTACAGAGGTGCTTGTAAGCATTCTTCCTAGTGACTTGTGTGGGAGCTGTAAGTAAACCTTTCTAAAAGATGATTCAGTAAAGTTGAACATTATTTTTTCTAGTAGACTATATACAATACATGTTTTGACTCAAGTCTGTAAATGCATTCCCTTGTTGAGGAGCGTTTCCGTTCTTAAAAAAAAGATCATCTAAAGCATTACTCTTTGTCAAAAGGGTGGAGCAGAACTGCAAAAGGATGAATTTGTGGTCTGGTCATGCTGTAGCTTTAAAACTCTGCCTTAAGAACTCCCCTAAATGAACCCTTATCCATTCTTACGCTGCGTTAATAACTGTTTGACTTTCCTTATACTCCATTAGAGAAGTACACACATTTTGTGTTACATGAAAATATTACATTAAGATGACAATAATAAATGACAATACAAAAGCTAAGACTAACCTAGACCATTTCAGGAAAAAAAAATCAGCACCACCAAAAAGCTACCTTGAAACTGTATATGAAATGAAACATTTTCTATTAATGGTGTACAAAATATGATCCAACAAAACACACAAATCTATGACTAAAGACATCCTAATCACAGGTCTCAAAGTTATTCCATCAACACTTGAATTTGAAAAAAACAGATAAAGAATGAGTGCCACAAAGAGGAATTAAAAGGCAAAAGAAAAGCTTATTTCGTTTTCTTTGAGGCTTAAGAACTTTGCGAATTTTTCCTTGAATTCTCATTAAAACATGACTCGATTTTCAACTGCAATAACCCTTCAATCTTCCACCCGCAAATGCTTTACCAGTATTGAAAGCACCATTTACTTTCTGCGTCACCCACCCTGCAAGATTTTCTGCACAGTGTTGATGGGTAGAGGACCATAACCTTACCACTCTTCAAGCATTTATAAAGATCTACTGCAACACTTTGATTGCCTATGTTTGTCATTGTCAATGAAGAAATATACAACTTGTCATAGGGAAGTTAGCCTTTGTCCAGTGTAGTTTTGCAATCATTTATATTCTTTACAGAAATGACGTTTGTTATTGCTGTTTTGCTATATTTTTTAGACATATAAAACTTGTACAGCAATTCTTTCTGCTCATTTCTAAAAATGCTCTTTTCCTCAGCTAAAATTACAATACAATGGATAGAATGCCATTTAAGAAAAAACAAACAACCAAACACAACCTTTCTTCAGCTTCAATAAAAAGGGTACTTGCAATTAGATGCTACAGGAGGCAGACCATTGGCCCCATCACTGCAGCTCCTCTGCAGAACTTACTCCCTGATGTTTGTGTTTAAGAAACAAAAGCAAGAAACAGAGATGGTGCAGATGGGCTAAGGCTAAAAAGCTGACCTATATGTCACCCCACCCCTTCTTACCCAGATCCATGCTTTTTGAGGCTTTCAGATTAATTGATTCAGACTGCTTGGCTGGTGTCAAAGATCTGAAGTTGATGTGCTGATCTGTTAAATGCACTGCTGAATTTATGATGGGGCTGCAGAGAAAAAAAAAAAAAGACATGTAAAATATTTAGGCACCAGTTCAAAATACAAGTGAACTAATTAAATCATGCACAAATATACATGTGTTTCTTCCTGCAGTTGCTTACAGCCATGCATTTTAAAATCAGTTATTGATCCTCAACTTTCTTTTCTGAAACTTAACACCTCCAGTCATGGTTTTAATCATATAAATGTAAATGGTTAGTGATAATTGCTTTTAAACAATTCATATTTCATTTAGCAGAAGAAATGAGGAACATACCAGTGCCTGCATTTTTATTTTTATTTTTTGCATTTTGCTAGTTCTGTTTTACCACTGCATTTTCAAATAACATGCTACAGAAACTCAGAAAAATACTGCCAATGTATGTGGCTCAATTCTACTTCATCTACTAATAAAAAGTTATTTTATAGCCTTGCACCACTTCTGCAGAGGCTGGAGCCTGGAGGTCTTATAGAGGGTGTCGTAACACTGAAGAATTCCAAGGTACCGTGGGTTTGGTTTGGGTTTTGTTTTGTTTTTTTAATGATTTTACTTCAAGTTAGGCAAATATTTAAACATTTCCACTTGAGTGAAACTTAAAGTAACTTTCACCTATGAGAAGTCAAAACACCTTACTGCAACGCATCTGCAATCTTTCAATTGGAAACACAAATATGTATCTTTTTTAAATACTCTAAAACCAAAAAGCAGTTCTAAAATTAAAAACATCTTTCCAAACTGTTCAATCAAAAGGTTTGGTTTTACAGTGTTAAAACACTTTCCCCGTTTTTTTGCTGAAATGCATTTTCAGTGAAATCAGCGTGACTTGACACAGCAATTCCATTTCAATGGAAATTTCCAAATTGAAAACCAATACAATGCTGGAAAAAAGTCAGAGTTGGAGAAAGGGCCTGCAAATTCATCATCATTTTAATACATCATTATCACTTAAGAGAATGTTTTTGCTCCCAGCTTATTGAAAAATTAGGAACAGATTCTAGCAAACAACTGCAGTTGAGAATTTAATGCAGAGTTCCATTCGCCTACGTAGACTTTTGTTTGTTTGCCACGTCATATATACCTGCCTAGGAAACCAGAATTTACGAAATTACTCTAGTGAAATTACTCTATGTTAGCAAAAATAAAATAGTTACAAGGGCCATCACTGTATGAAGAATTCAAGGTATCCATAATAAAATATATCTACTCTTCAATACTATGCGCAACCAGTCATTTAAAAGGTAGTTTTTAATCACATCCACGCACTCAAGGACAGAAGTATGGCTAAGTTTTTAGTTGAAATGCATGCTTTCCTAATATCACTGCAATAAAATAGTTGCATGACTATCAAAACCGAATACAATCAAAACGAGTATACAGAGTTCAACATTGAAATTTCAGCATCAGAAGTCTGATAGGATGAAAGAATGCTTTGATTTGAATATGTGCTACTTGAGACAGACAAAGTATATGCCATCCCAAGCTCCAACATGTGTACACTTTTTTCTGCACTTCCAAATTTCTGTATTTACTAAGGAAATCAAAGCTTGTAGCTGCCATCAAGCACATCAGCCTTTACAAAAGGTATTCTTGAAACATCTGAAAAATCTACCCAATGCATTTACAACTGGTATAGTGTCCATTATTTTTTCCCATACACATTGCAATGTTCAAACTTACTGAAGCTTCATTTTGTAACCTCAAGAATATCTTTGGCTGATGTGTTTCATAAGAAGATTCAGTTTCCTACAAAGCTTTAAGAGGCTTCAGGCACTGCATCTACACATAGCACCCACTGGTATAGTTTTAAATTCCCCCCCCCTTTTTTTTTTTTAATTGGGATTATCTTCTGGGATTCTTTTTGTTTTACTGAATACTTGCTTTGTATTGTGATCCATATCATGGGTAGCAGGCATACTGCAGCTTATGAACAACTGAAATGAACAATGCACTAAATGCTAAAATAACATTCCCAGCTTACATTAAAGGATCATCCAGGTGACTAAAAACAGCAGTGTAAATTTTTACAAAATAAAAAGTGATTTCAAAATCAATTAAAACTACTATCCCAACCACTAATGAGCAATTAGAGCTGTAACTATTAAGAATAGCCAATGTCCAACCTATGATTATAATCCTCATTCAGCAGATCCTCACTGGGATGCGGTGGGAGAGGTGGAGGGGTTTCATTTTCACCATTGCCACGATCAGACACTGGCAACTCTGAAATAAAATTTAAAAAGGGGTTAAATAAGCTGCGGAAACAAGTACATTACACCAGTTCATTGATCAATGACTGGACTGGAAGGCCTCAAGCAATGCTGAAGTGAGTCACAAATTATTCAAATCCCTAAACTAACTAAACTAGAATTAAAATCACACCAAGCAGAAAATATACCCCTTGGGATTTCCTGAAGGGCTGATTTTCAGATTTGCATATGCATAATTAAAGATAAATATAGGGAAACTTTGTGCTTATAGTGAAGTTGAGCGCAAGGCACAAATTGCTTTACTCCATTTGAATGGATTTTCACTTCTACATAGCTGCATTCTAGCTGCTTGTAGGCTCATGCTTTCACTCCCTTTGATGGGGAGCACTTACCACCTTTCATGTACAGAAGAGAACCACATTCTCAGCAAAGAGTTCAGAAGAAGAAAAATTTATGTTATCCCATGGCAAGAGAAGAAAGAGCCATTTCTGAATTACAGTCTTCATTTTCCTACCATTATGGTAATACCTTCTTTACCTTTACAAAAAGCATTCAGCTCACACCAGAAAATTACTTTGGACCAAGAAAATCATGAACTACTCAATTAAACCATTCAGTGGTTTGCTAAGCAACAACACTTACACACCTGCAGTATTTAGTATGACTGCTGTTGCCTGCTGTAGGCCAGTTCATTATTGTCTTGTAAATTCACCTCTCAATCTAAAGGTCTAAGCTTATAAAAAGTTCGACTTTTGTCAATGTAGAACATGTCTTTACCCCTCCAAAACTTAATAGGAAACATGGACACTTAATAATTCTTGGGTTTCAATGGCAGGTAAGTAGTTTAACAATAATGGCATACCACACTTTCATGTGAGCTGTCCTGTTGCACTGAATGTTCCTAGTCTTTTTGCACAATCCTGCATCAAAGTATTAATCTAACTTGAGAGAAAAAGGGTTTACAATGAGGGGATCAAGGCAGACAGCAAAGATTATGTTTATTAGATAAGATCACTGAGCTAGCTCCCTAAAAGCAAATAAACAAACAAAACCACACTATTAGCTCGAGAATCCTATAAAACTCCTATTGACTGGATAATCTCCTAAGATCAGAAAGATAACACATAGTTCAAACCCTGTATCTCAGGAAAAGTGAGAACATGACCAGAAGAAAGTGAAGGTGAGCATATGAGGAGAAAACTTCCAACGAGACCTTAAAAAAATATCGATTGCTGGTCTGACGCAGAAAACAGGTATGCTACCTAACTTATATGCACACTGGTTTCTTGCATTATGATCACATTCTTTCAGGTTGCAATTTAAGGACAGGAAACAGAGATGAGGAGTAAAGGGCAAGTTCTCACACTAAAAAGAATTTAGAACAAAGGGAAACTCATACTGTTCAATGTAATCAAATGATTCAAAAGATGAATCAGAAAACGACAAAAATTTACTCATGTAAAAACATTCAGAACTACCAAAAATAAGCAGACTATGAAGCTCTGCAAAAAGGTTGCAGGATATTAAGTAAGTAGGATATGCAGTGAAACTCCCTGTCAGCGACTGCCAAGTGACACACATGGCAGTAGGGGAAAACTCTTGACACATACACAAGGCTATTACTTTAGCAATTACCACTCAGGAACAATTCAATAGAAGTGCACTGGATTGTTCTTTGAATATATGCTTAGCAAAGTCAAAAGGAAACAGACATTGAGAGTCTTAAGAAAGTCCAAACGCTCCATCTAGAACACAGTTAATGGTGTGCCTAGATTTTAAATAGCATCTAAGGATTCATTCTTCCTATCAGAAAAAAGCATGTAATACAATTCAGAAACATATTGAAAAGGCGGCAAGGGTAGTTGGACACATGTAGAAACATTCCTACAGAGAACACAGACTAGGATTCTTTGGTTTAGAATAAGAAGCAACAAAAGGGGATACAAGAGAAGTCTATGAAATTGTAGAAGCTATGCATAAGGTGAAAAGGAAGCTCTCACTGATGGTCTCAATACACAGTAACTAGAAGGCACTGGGTGTAACTATCAAGCAGTACACCTAGGACAAACACAAAGTAGCATTTTTTCCTGTGCCAATAAATCATGGAACTCATTGCCATGAGGATGTTTTGGGAACCAAATTAAAAAAAAAAAACAACTAAGAAATGACTAAAAGTTAGAGAGGTATCAATAACACAATGGTCCAGACAGAACATCTGATTTAGGAGGTCCCTAAACCACCGATTACCCAAAACAGGAAACAAAGGCCTGATGGAAGTAAAGAAAAAAAATAAATAAAATTCACATTACACCCTACACTGTGCCTTAACCTCTCTGAGCAGCCTCTCATAGCCACAGCTGGAGAGATGGAACACATCGTGTAGTCATATTAACTTTGATTCAAAGTAATTGATATGTCATTTCACAATGGCTGTTTGGTGATGGGTTACCACTGGCATTTCTCTTGCAGTACACAAATGGTACACAGAAAAACATCAGACTTCCTGAGAGAATCGGAAATGATTACAAGAGACTACAGCTACCAGCAAAATGGGAGCAGGAGCAAAAGAGTGAGAGAATTTAACGTAAGAGGCAGTCACTGGCTCCATGTTCAAGACCTCAGGAAACAATCTTAACAGATCCAGAGAGATCAGAGGAACAGCTAAGCCACTAAAAAAAATGTACTGAATTTTCAGATATTAAATTTAGGGAGTAAATAATTGAGTCTGTCTATAAGACATATGTAATGTTTACAAGCAAAATTTAAACATTAATTTTAAATTTCACTTCTACATTTTCTGTCTTGACATTACCACACATGTATGAACAGAGAGTCTTGTACAACCATGGAGACTCGGCAGTCTATGATAGTAGAGAGAGTTTACGATTATTCTACTAGTAAACCAGAGAGATGACAGCATTTCTCCATAACCATTTATAATGTAGGGTTATAAGAAATATATAAGTACCTCTAATGAAACACGTTCCAGTAATCTTTCAACACCAGAAACGTAAAGCTGCTGGCACTGAAGTATCAATTCTCAAAGAGGTTGTTCTAAAAAACACTGAATCTGTGCAACAGCTTGGCAGCAAAAGAAGTGAGGACCTGAAGGCAGCAAGTATTATTCATGCAAAAATAGAACAAACACTGGCATTTCAATATTGGATCAGTATCCCCTCCCCCTTTATTTAAATATCCACAGGCAAGACAAAATGTAATGTTTTGGCTATAACCACTTTTCCCCAGACATTAGTTTTTCTTGCTCATGTATAATAAAAAGGACTCTTAAAACAGACAGCAATATTATCAGGCCAAGCTTCAGTGTATTTTTGCTGAGCTTTTATAAGAATTTTATTGGTATGAGCAGTGAATGATACTGGAAATAACTTATTAGAAAACATTAATTGAGAAAGTGACATTTTATTAAACGCAATACAGCTCCTGTCGTTAAATTCTTACATTAGATCATGTATTATGTTAAAAATCTCTTCTATCTCTTATTATTTTTTGTTGAAATATACCATCCATACTTCTACATATAAGATCTGGATAATACACCATAAGAAAGTACAAGGGACTGTTCCTGCCTGTCACAAGAAGCTTACCATGTCTGTGACTCACATCCTTGAACAGACACACAAAACTAAAGTTCATAACTGAGATAAATGAGGGTTGTGCATAGGCGTAGTATTTTGCCTTTACAAATGCCTTGAAAGAATGAAGACAAAACTTTATAAGAAATAATGCAAAAAAAATTTTGAACCGATGACTGGAAATAAGTGACAAGTTCATATGGAAAATAGAATGAGTATTAGCTCAATAATAATTAATACTGTGACTTCAAAATTAGAGAAAGATTTCTACAATGTGCAGGACTACTGTAAGCCTAAAATGTCTCTCACCAAGAAAATTTCTCCTGCAGACACCCTGCTGCTCAAAGTGCCTGTGCAGTTCCCCATTACAATCACTTAAATTTTACTCATCTAATGCCAAATCTTCAACAGAAATCGCAATACAATGATACTTCTAGTAAGTGCTGGAAACATCTTTGTCATCTGTTGTCCTCAGACTCCAATTCCAAACTGCTCCCGGGCCGTGGCTTCCCAGCCACGCCAAACCCTCCTTGACAATAGCCCTCAGCAGCACTCCAGAGCATCCTTTCCACATCCCACAGACATTCTCTTCTGAGGCTGTCACATTTTTTTGCTATAACGTCTTCTTATCATTGTCCTTTAATTAAAAAGATATCTACTGAAAACGATTTTATGAATAAGCTGCAAACCAGTCATCCTGACTTTGGATCACAGTTGGAAAATCCTTATCTGAAAGCTCTTCCATATATTTTAAGTGACAAGTTACCTGTTGCCATTCGCCTGTATCAATGGCTCCCTAGCAATTGATTATATGTTTTTTAAGGAGGTGTTTAAAAGTTTTTGCTGCTTTCTGATCCTTTGGCAGCAGCTAACTCTACAGGACAGGCTAGCTCCAAGGATGACCCTTTTCTCCTGTAACTACAGAATCAGTGTAAATTCCATACAAGAGAAATATGTGGTAGATCTTAATAAATAATAATAATAAAAAAAAAGTCTGATCTTTGAATATTTACAATGCTTGAGTCTATATCTAATTATTTGCCTGGAGTCACATTGTCAAAATACTGAAGTCAACACAAATGATCTACCCCTAAATTACATGGGAGTTTCACTTGAGCTTTACAGATATGGTCTCTTTGGGTTTGGCTAGAAGTACCCCAACTAAGTCATCACAGCAGCCTATGAAATTACTTTATGCAGGGCACCCGGATTCCACAGTTGCCTAGGGAAATGGGAAAAATCATGCATAATTCAGCTACATCACAGAAATACTTTTTTTCCTCCTGGAAGGTGTTTAAGTATGTGCTTGGCTAGAAGGATAAGAGCACTCTAAAAGGATAAGGGTCAAGACCAGCTCAAATACTTAAACTTTTCCAATAACTAGTATCTTGCTGAGTCACGTGCACATTGGACAGATAGTACAGTATGGCATCAGAAATGAAAGAAGACAAGAAAATCAGTGGTCATAATAGCTCTTACTTATATGCCTTCATATGCTGATAGATGAAGGTTTGCTTTGTACAATGTACACGTCTACCTAATTTTTTTTAATTAGTTCATTAATATAATTCCAATTTGTAAATTAAGGGAATGTTTCTAACCTTTGAACAAATTTTACCTTTAAGTCTAAAATAAGCAAGTGTACTTTAGGAATATCATGCTTTTGTATAAAGTAATTTAGCTTATAACAACCTGGGACATAATCTAAGAATTCAATGCAAAAATCATTGCACTCATTAAAGATATATAGAAAATAAACATTTTGACAACATATATTTTGCACTCATCATTTGTTTTTTATCCAACCTTACGTGTTGGGGCAGCGAGCTAGAAACTGTTACTTAAACTGGAATTTGTGCCAGGAATCTAATTCACAACTTCTGAGTCAGCTCTCCCACCCTCACTGGATCTTCAAGCCTCGAAGTAACATAGTGTGCACTTACTTTAATTAACTGCTTTTCTAGTGGCTGTGGATTTCAAAAAACAAAAACACGAAGCACCTTCTTTTAGCACAGAGAAGGGTATCTAGAGATTACCTTTTATTCTTTCTTGACCGCTGTATGTTACAAATTGCTGAATCACAGAATCATTGCGTCGGGAAGCTGCTGCAAAGTTATGACTCCCGTCAAAGGCTGATTTTTGAAAGACCCCCTGGTCAGAGCGTTCCTAAGGGAAAAACGGAACCACTCATTGTTACAAAAAAATTAAATGTTCAACAATGCAGAAGATCAGCCATCACTACAGACAGCGCACAAATACAGTATAATGTAATGTTCACTGCACATTGCTTCCTTTCAAATGAGAAACTTGAAAGATACCTTTGAAATGTCTATCTGTTTTTGCTGACCACGAAATAAGACAATATCTAAGCAACAACAATCACTAAGAACGATGCACAAAACTGAAGACTGTTTTTTTTATGACCCACAACTGGCTTCATTCAAATTCTCCATCTGGGAGGGCAGCTTGTGACATTGTCAACACAAGAACACGGGCAATGCCAATGGTATTTTTCTGCCAGCCAGCTGGTTCCCTTCTCTCAGAGACTGACTGCATATGTTCTGATGATCACACACTAGCGCAGTTTTGCAAGTAAGGAGTTACACCAAACTCCCAAGCGCAGGTCTTCTGGCTAGCAGCTAAACAAACTCCTGTCACACCTCTAGTCAGCTTTTCTTTTGCGACATTTCCTCCCCCCACCATACACACCATACCGCCTAATTTATTCTCCTGAGCAGTTGCTCAAAAAAAAAGGGGGGGGGGGGGGGGGGAATAATCACAGTTTCTAGAACTGGGACAGACCCAGAAAGACATTTCTGTACTCATTATTCAGGGAAAACATAAAACCCACACAGGGGAATATTATGGCTAGTTTTCAGAATAACCTTTATAGCTTCTGTGATTTTGTATTTGTTTTTTGAAGGGTCGTCCAACTGGCTTCTTTTTTTAACATGCACGTTCATTATGCTAGCAAATGATACACTAAATATATTATTCCTTAAATTTCATAGTCACATCTAGAGAAGAAATGCATGTATCTAATCCATATCATTTCTGTGGAAAAGGATGCAAGAGTTTTAAAGCATTGGGAAGTGACTGCCTGCAAACCAACACATAAGAAAGGACAGCACATTACGCCCCCTTGCAACCTGCCTTTCCAGCTTAATAACAACAATAAAAATAAAACAATAATGACAGAATAATGACAATAAAAATAAAAATAAAAATACGGCAAAAAATGCAGCTCAGAACACTAATTAATGCTGGGATGCTCATGGTGACAATATGGCTACGAATGCAGTTTCAGTGGACAGGCAGCACACACAATGTTCTCTCCTCTTTCTCAATGCAGCATGAGCCATTTGAAAAGGTTATTTTGAACCCCCGTACAGAAACACACACACACCACACAGCCACTGACAACTATGTTTCTTCTCATTACTGGAAATTCTTTAGTTTACATAGGTTTCCTTATGTTGCGAGGTCCACATTTACTGCTGTCTCCTGGATACTGCTAGCTAAATTAAGCCTTGCAACATCCAAACTACTACTACATTGGAGACTTACACCCAGTGGGATAGGGAGCCTTAAATTAACAGCAACAACAAATCTGCTTTTCCAGCTCTTTGATAAATGACACAATCAATATCCCAACAACTGATCAGTAACCAGCCTAATTAGAGTATTCAGCTTATAAAACATAGCTGCCATGGAAGACCTCCATTAGTGTCCTGACCAATAAAAACAATAATGCGTTTCTAAACGTATTCTCCTTCTACCGAGCTGAGATGCAGTACTCAGGAAGCTGTTTTGGGGAAAGAAAAGAATGGGCAACAACCCATTTCTGCTATGGTCTCCAGACTCAAATGGAATTAAAATTGAACCTAAAGACTACCTTATAAAAATTAATTCCTGTCTAAAATGAATTTGATTCAATCAAGACCTCATTATGCATTCTTCATAGGGCACGAGTCAAGATTATTTACCTCTTTCATACATCTGGAGGATATACAAAACTATACACTTAACTATAAAAAGCAGACTCATGCTTTTATTAAGTCAACCTGATGTCTGATTGGAATTTTTAGAACAGAAATTGGCTTTTGTTAAATGAAGAAAACTTGCAGGAGTGAGCTTTATTTGAAAGCGAGCTATCTTTCTTATGGCACGAGAGTCCACAATAAATATAACATATACATTATAATTCTTCCTTACAGCATAATGCTATGTCACATAGGAAAGGAAAGCAAAAATGGGTTTTCCTCTAACATACTCCAGAATTGCTAATGAATATTTTCCATATTTTCCTGGCACGAGTGACATCACTGAGACTTTTGTGAAGTATCCTCCCAACAATGTTAGTGCATAATGTTCGGAAAGCAATATACTGCTAAATCTATTTCTCAATCAATCAACAATGGCAGTAAATGAAACAGAAAATTATCAGGAAAAGAGTTAATTATACTATAAGATACCTGTATTCTCTTCCCCCCTTTGATTTTTCATCCAAATACACCCAGAAACATGATTTTTCTTAACATTTTAAAATGTTCCAGCAATGCTTATTAAATAAGAAGCTTGAAATCATCCCTTGGAATTCTATACTGGAATATACAACCTTTTATACCACAAATTCACTTGGATGTATTTTTATTGGTCCCTTGGAATTCTCTACTGGGATTTATTACAACCTTTTATACTACAAATTCACTTGGATGTATTTTTATTGTAAGGAAATGTACAGATGTTGAAAAACTATTAAAATATTTACTCAAGGGTCAAAATTAAAACTAGGGTGAGTAGTAAGGGCAGCTAGTATACATACATATATATTATCTATGTAAAGATGAAGGAGTGTGCATATGTGCATGCATGCATGAAAGAGAGGGAGCAGGAGAGATCATAAAACCAGTCCTTTTCAAAGTAAGAGGCGATTAGCAAACATCAATTTATATGAGGTCTAGAAGACACAACCACTAAAATTTCTTGCTTAGGTAAGGTAACAAAATAAGAGAAGAAAGTTTTACGCTAATCAACTCAGAAACCCATTCTGAAGGGGTTGCCTTCATCTGACCAGGGAAAATAAAATATTAATTCCTTGCAGGTTTAAAGAAAAAGAAAAGAAAAAAAAAAAAAAAAAAAAAAAAGAGGTGGAGGGACAGGACAGGACCGGACCAGAAGAACACACACACAAAAAGTGGAGTGAATGAAAATACTAACGAAAATGGAAAAGCAAGAGTGAATTAAAATCCAAATCACGCTAAGACATTAAGGTCTCTGATCATGACAACAAATGGAATCAGAAGAATTCAAATCATCTGTATCTCAAGCTATTTTCCTTGAGGATGTAGCAGATAGTCAAAAATACATCAGCACATGAATCCCAAATTAACCTTTTTGGGGACCACATTTGCTTTTGTTCTAATACTTGTCATATTAAAGTGAGGGGCAACTTTTATAGCCTGGACTCAACAGGAACAGCAAAACCAGGAGGTATCAACCAGAAACACTGTGAATCCTGACTCCAGGAAATCAAGAATTTATTCTGCCAGGAGGAGCTCTCTGTGACAAAGACTTTAGCCACCATTCCTTGTATTCAATAACACTGGGACTGGAAAGCCATTTATCTAATAAATGTATTTACTGCTTCACCTCTGTTTGCACCTCTAGTCTCCGGAGAACTACCAGCTGGATCCTCCCACGGATGTTCCCCTCCATGGACATGGAGCGCCTCAGTGTTTCCATAGCCTCATGATTTGACTTGCCCAGAAGTGACTCCTCATTTACTGCAACAAGCTGATCATTTACTCGCAAGCGACCATCCTACAAGCAAAAAGTAAGAACAAAATATTTTTTTAAAAAATAATTATAAGTCAGAGGTGCTACATACAGGAAAGCAAGATGCAGACAATCAGACATTGGTTTCTAAAATTTAAGAAACAAGAGACTGCATAGTACCAGGTCTTTAAAAAGAAAAATCGTTGTGCCCATTAATTGACTGTTTTTTTCCTCCATTTACCACATTTTGGGAAGAGTTCATAGGGCAATTACACACATAAAAGCACATGCACACGCTGCTAGTTTTCTTGCACGTACAATTTAATTTGTACCAGTTCTAAAAAGAAAACAGGAAAAGGAGCTTTTGGTTACTTAAAAGGACCCACACCGTAGTTGTTAGTGTCTGTAGTGCAACCGTGGAGTACTGCAACATGTTTCCATGCATTATTATCTGCTATTAGGGTTTGGTGAGAAACAGCTCAAAAATTTTGTCTCATAGTCTCACTAGTGTCCATCTTGTCACAACTACCATGCCACCATATGGGGTAGTGTTCTCAGTTCAGAATGGTCATTAAGACTTAAGCATCCTTATTTTAATTAATGCCGTCCATGTATTTTAACATCCAAACCTGCTGCCAAAACCAAAATAAGGGTTGAGCCATATCAAGTAGCCTATGCTTTGAAAAAAGTAATTCAGTTTCATTGCCAAGGTTAACTGACATTTGTGGGTGTAATAAAATTGTGGACACTGCCATTTTGTGATTTACGAGTCCTATTGCTGTTGTCATTATTATCTGTGATTTATTTCTTTTCATAAAAGCATATGCCATGGAATTTTCTCTCTTTAACATGAAAATAAGGTCTATTTAATTAAGAGACAACAGTTTCTATTAAAGCTTGTCCAGTTCAGAATTATCAGGTTGCCATCAGAACTCAAAGAAGGAAGAGAAGAATAAGAAACTGAAGATATCCAATATAGAAGGGCAGTAAAGAAAGAATAGCAGGGAAAGAACTTGCATAGAAATGCATTGCTTGGTTAAAATGAATTCGATTCATTCGTAGGCTTACATACTCTTCATAAGCCACTCGTCCGAACTGTTTACATATTTCATGCATCTGAGGAATCCAAAATATATATATTTTTCAATTTTTATTTTTTCTATGACTAAGATGTTCAATTAACTATTCAGCTACTGCTGTCAAGTCCAAGTCATTTGTGCTCAAGTGAGTTACAGTAGCTGTGACAAACCCAGCTTTCTTGAGCGTTATTTTTGTCAGAACTGGGTACATCATTAGCACAGCAGAGTATGAATAGCCACGGAGCTGAAGAAGAACAGCATATACCAGAATCCAAAATAAACCGGGAGGGACAAGAAGATGGAAAGACAGAATTGGGATATGACTCACTCAGTGAAGTAAAACGAAGAGAAATAAAACTTTTCTGGGAAGGGTATGGGAATGGAGGATAGGAAACAGCAATGCCATTTGGAAAAGATACTGAAACCTCTCCCACCTCTCCACTGAATATTTCATGCCAACATAAATTTACATATACCCAATGTCAACAGGTTAACCCCACCCTTGCTCTACATACAAAATAATGCAATTACACATGCTAAAGTTTAGAGAGAGCAGAGTTAACATTGTTGAACAGGGAGTTTTATTATTTGCACATGTTGCAATTCCTTTGTGTCCTATCAAAATTTGCTGAAGTGGAGCCATTCAGGCTCCAACAGGAGTCTGAGGAAAAAAGATTCCATTTTTTGTGAGTTTCTGTAAGACTTTGAAAATTTTACAGGTCCCCATGTCCTCCTGCTATGGTCCCACAGGCTCTTGGATTACTTTTTTTTTTCCTTTCTGGGTATAAACACCCATGTATAAATATCCCTTAAAGCTTCTTACTAATGTATATACAAATACGTTGTCAAATGCATCTTGTCATGACTACACCTGTTGACTATGCAACTGTCCTGAACACAATGCATATTTTTAAATTAATCACTGCAGCCTCAGAAAGCTCTGAATTGGCCCAATTTTTAATATGCCTTGTAATACTTTTGTATGAGACTTTATATTTATTTCTTTATATTTTAATAATGTCAGTTCTTAAAAAACTTCTTTTGATGCATCTCCCTTCTTTCCACTCTGTTACATGCTCCACTTAAATGCAAAATTCAACTGGAATTCAACACTTCAACTATGATTGGAGAAAAAAAAGGTGTGAGTGCTTTATAAATGCTGATCAACTACACTCATTACGTCACCTGTAAAAGGTAGGTTGGAAGATAGCTGAACACTGTTTTCACACATGGTCTTCTACTTAGAAGTTATTTTAGAGAAAAAAAAACTTGTGCTATTTTAAAGACTGGAAAAAAAAATTCCCAGTATCTAAATAGTTTCCAAACACAGATTTTCATATCACTGGTGTTATGGCCTGGTTTAGAAGCCTGAACTGCAAGACAATCTGCTTGGCTCAAAACAAGCTAACTGTTGTTTTAACACATTTTTTCTTTCATCTCTGAAAGGTAGGTTTCTTTGTGGCTTCCAAGAAGAAAAATAACATTTGGCATTTCAGCAAAACAGTTTTCAAATGCCATCTCTGAAACCGCAAGTGAGCTATTCTAATAAAGGGTGAAGTTACTGTTCCCTTGCTCATTCAAAAAATGTTGTTTTTTTAATGGAGACTCACAGCAAGGGGTAGAACCTACCACCTCATGGCTACCATATTCAGACAGTCAGTCACAAGACTCTCATGCTTTTTACAGTAGAGCAGGGAGATATAATGCCATGTTCTTCATGGCCTTGTATTTTTAATCAAAGCACCTAGTTATTTCCCTTATCATATCAATGACATTTCTCTCAGAAGGAATTCCTTGATGGCATTTATCGGAATCATCCAATTTCCCCATCCACTGCACACAACAAGCAATGTTTACTGCAACGGCACTCAGAAGGCGCAAGCAGGCTCAAGCTAGGCCATGTTTGATTTGAACAAATGCATGCATAGAAAATATTCCATTATTGCTAATAATGGCTCTGCCACATTTCAGCTGCAGTAGACAGCAAGTACCTGATCATCAGGAATGCATCACAAGTGAACAGCCAGGATGCCTCGAGATGAACAAGGCTGAAATCCCTAGAGTCACGGGGAAAGACGATGCATTTATACTTAGTCAAATGTTAGTTTTCCTCCCGTGAAAGGCTCTGCATAATTACACATATCAAGTATTCTAGTAAACTCTTTATCTTAGGGATGATAAAAAATAGATGCTTCAAAAATTACGAAAGGAGGTTAAGAAGAAACATAACAGTTCAATAAGCAAAAGTAACTTTTTATTGCTGCAGGATACAGTGTTAGAACACCAACTAACAACGTTAAGGCATTTTTACTTCATTTGGTTTTGTAGCAAGAGCAGTCAATCGGCACTGGGTCTTACTGTAGCATGTATGATGCAACATGCATTGATATTTTCTAAAATCTTTACCTACGACAAAAAATCATAACGTAGAGAATGAAAGACTTTAATTTTCCCTTATGTTTTATTTACAACTCACTTACTGTGCTTTGCAATGCCACTAACAGACCAGAGCCAGATTAATGTGTTAACGTTTTGAAAAAATACTACAAAGTGTTGGCCTCTCTTCAGACCTTTCGTTAAGACAAATAATGGATAACAGCAACCAACCAAAATTGTCTGCATCTCATAGGTAACTCTTCATTCTAAAACACACACTGGAAAAAGAAATTTAATGTATCGAAACCTTTATACAGCATTAGGATAAAGTATTTACTTCAGCAGTGAAACAAATGTGTTGAAGTTCAATGTATTACACGTCTTCTTTTGAAGACAAGTGGCGACTGTATAGATAAGGGGATAAAGCTCCCCCTTATACTAGCCTGATATCATAAAATCAAAACAAATTTTAAACTCTGAATGCAAAAGTAAGAAATAGTGAGAGAATTCTCATGTCAGGGAGCATTATGATTCCCTCCTGTGATAGTTTCCCAAGAAAACTTTGTATGCTGAAAAGCAAATGCACATGTCTAAATCCATAATACTCCGTTCCAGAGAGTTACAATGGATAGCATAGGAAAATGCTCTGGACAACTACCAGCTGGAAAGAAAGGCTTTTTATTAAAAAACTTGCTACAAGAGGACAACAAGGACATCTTTAAATATTTATGCACGAATATGCGCACACTTTTTAACTTGATACAAGAAATTTTATTAATTGTTAATACCCACTGATTATATTTTGCTCTATATAAAGGTCATTAGACAGGAGAAAGACAGCAGTTCTCCATGCATACGCAACAGTAAACTGCAGTTCTTAAGACATTGCCAAAATGACTGCATTCTGTGAGTACTTGTATAAAACACATAGGAAAGTTTCTCTGAACAGTTCTGGCTGAAGCTATAACCTCAGCTACTATCACATTTGCTCTGGAGCCTACACTCAGATCTATTACTACACAGTTCTAACTGGTGAAAGGGTTACAATGAGGTAGAATGGAGGATAGGTCACAGGACCACATGTTATCACAAGACAAAATAACCTTCCAATCATGGTGCCTAACTGTGCCAGTTGCCCTTTACTTAGGTGTGAGGAAAGAAGTCCTGCTTTATTAGTCTGCAGACCCCTCAAGCCAGAATTAACCGCTCTGGAGTGAGTAACTATGGGAGAATAGAGAAGGGTAAACATACAGAGCTAGAAAGGGTTGTCTTATGTGTCTATGATGTGACAAGTCAGGTAGACAGACCACTAACACTGCTGGAATATGGCTCCACAAGCTTTGCTATTCAAAACAATGAGTTTATTCGTGGCAATACACACTGTCACTGCAACTGGTGTGGACAATTACTCAGGGAACAGAGAGCTGGCAAAGCACGGAGAGCGGCCTCATTTTCACAGTAAAATGAGTTGTACCCTGTAGCAGACATGCACATAAATTGAGTTTATCCAGCCCTAATTTGGCCAGTTGTGCCTTAGCTCATTTCTGATATGCACCAAGTAGATGAGCTTACTCACTTGTTATTTAGCCCTGAGTTAAATACGGACAGTGTTCTGAACTGTGTGTTCCAGGCTCAGTTATACTTGAGAAGATCCAAGCTTTGAAATAACCGTGGGACTAGGATAGCTAAATAATAGAAGCGGGGAAGTAGTAAACATTCACATCAAAGCTAAATCCTTGGTTATTGCTATTTACCAACTGCTGTAAATAAATGATCATGAAAGTTTTAATGCTGTGAATTGCCTTACTCAGCAGGCTGATGTCAGTAGAGGAATTTACATACACTGAATTAAAAGGTATTTTTTCAGAAAAAAAAGAACTGTGAGGAATTGCTGAGATAACACAGGAGAAAAAAATCACATTACGGACGCACAAAAGTTAAACATACTAGCCCTGAAAGATTAAGACTTTTGCTTCTAATTTCAAGAAAGCTACCTTTTTCAAGTTTTATTTGGGAAAAAAAATGCAGTCAACAGATTTCCTAAAGATTAGGAACTAATTCAAATACTTTTTAGTCATAAAAATGTACAACAGTCCTTGTATAGTCCTTAGAGGGAGCAGAACAATTCATAATACTGTCATTTACCAATTTAATATTACCAATTCAATATTACCAATTCAATCCGCCTCAGGAACAATTGGTAACTTCTGCCAGGCTCAGCCAAGTTGCATTTTTAATACAATGGTAAAAAATACTTTGAATAAAAAAAAGGAAAGAAAATGATGAGCTAGCTTTTTACTTACAGCATAAATTAAACACATAATCCTTAACCTCACAAAATTGTCAATTTCTAATTTTTGTAAAGAAGTTTTGTCTTTTGATTGTTTTTTACGGGTCTGCCTGTATTGCTTCATGAGGACGAAAAGCACTGCAGATAGACAATAAATGTAGATATCCAACTTCTCTGTCACCAAGTCAAGCAGCGCGCGAACTTTACCATGCACTTCTGTGGCAAGCTGGGAAGCAGCCTCTCCTCGTACCCACACATGCTTATCATTGTCACGTTCCCCATTTCCTGCAGTATGCAAATGCCCCCCAAGGTTTCCACCAATTCACTCTCCTTGGGGCAAACCCTACCACACACAACACCAGAACCTTGGGACAAAACATTAGTAGATTTGCAGTTCACCTAAAGGAATGACTAACAAAAAGGTATTTGTTCCTAGAATGCTTATCAAGTGAGATTCAGTAGTCAACACAGAAACATCAGAATTCTAACACAGTCATCGTTTGATGTGTTTCTTCCATACCTTAAAAGCAGCACCTCCGTGAATAACTGATTTGATGAAAATCCCAAGATCAGCTCCCGTCTCCCGAGATTTGTTGCCTTTTAAGCTCACACCAAGTCCAGCAGAGCCAGAATCATTCAGAGGAATCTCAAAGGTCAGCTGCTCTGTGGTTTCTGGAGAGAGAATACTACAGTTTGGCTCTCCTTTCTGTTGGAGAAAACAAGGATGAAAACATGGGTGAAAAGGGGGCAGAAACAATGCATAAACTAGTTGTACTCATATGTTCGTATGACAAGAAATAGCCCTCTTTACCAGAAAATAGCTTGAAGAAGCAGCCTTATAACCAAAAGTGCGTTTAGCTGACATTTTGTCACGTGATCTGGCTTCAAATGTTATTTTTTAATGATACCTTCTATTTAGGTATATTCATAGGTAAAATAGCTTAGTTCCACATGATGTAAAAGTGACATTGCAGCAAAATATAAAAAAGACATTTATTTTAAACACAGTCGTATTAAAAATGTAAGCCATAAAACTCTCAACATCTTTACATGTAGCTCACAAACTGTAATGACTGTTGTACTGTTAAATCCCATTCCCCTCTGAAAATTGAGTTTCATCCTTAAAAAATTATCCTTCCCTTAAACCTATCAACAGAGGGAAGCTGGTGTAACAAAAGAGAGGGCGAGAATTGAAAACGCAGTACCTTATTCTGCACTAACTCCCTTTGTACGTACTTTTATTCCACAGAGGTTTGGGGTTTTTTCCTTCAGGTATAGGTTAAATGCAAGAATTTTCCTAGATTAGATTATTGTTTACAAAACTGTCAAGTCAAGTATCTGTAGCTAGGGAAGATCAGAAAGAACTTTCTTTTACTATATACTGTGTCTCCAGTTTTGTAGGGTTTGAACTTGGTGTGGGGGGTTGTTTGTATTGGGTTTTTAAAAGCAAGTTAGAATCATGAAACTAAACAAAATCAAATCCTTGCCCAAAATATTCACACTGGCACCCTACAGAAATAAAACTAGGATAAGGAGACCTACTATGGAGTGAAGTGTTCATGGAAAGTATTAACGGAAAAGACCTTATGTATCACATCCAATTTTCTCCACTCTTTCTTCTCCATATAACTCTAAGACAATTACTTAATTTATGTTTCTTGTCATTTGAACATTTTCCATTCTTTGTAACAGTAGTGTTAAAAAAATCAATAGGAAAAAAAATATGAAAAGGAAACACATGGACAAGCACAAGTTGAAAAAAATGACTGCAGGCTGCTTTCAGGGGTGTCACAGTCTTATGTTAAATTATGAAGTAGAGGTCACACACAAGGAGCGCAGTAGCTGGGCCAATCCTCCTTCTACCTAATGAAGGATCGTTTCCAGGGCCTAAGCTGCAGTACATACAGTATCAATGCAATTGTCAACTAAGGTGCCAGCCCTACAGATGTTTTCTCAGCAGTCAAAGTAGTCCCATATATTCATCTATGATGCTGTCGGATCAACAAGAAGTACTATCACAGAACTCGGAGCAGAAATTAATATCCTGAAGCAACACAAAATTAGAAACAGTAACCATGAAGTATACTTTCATTTATTTCAGATGCCCTTTCACTGATGAGAACCAGCTACAGGCTAGAGAGGAATCAAGTGAGCCAGAGAGCTAGGACTACAAACCTCAATCCCAATATGCACCATGCTCAAATTCTTCCTGGAATGTAACTACATGATAATAAGTCAACACAATTTGCCTAACTGCCAAATATAAAAATGACAGAGCACCAACACTGACAATTGTCTAGATGCCAGCGCTAATCTCCAGTAGCTATGTTACTCATTTATGCTTTTGTCTTTGTTCACCAGAAGTGGACAATTCTCAGTTACAAATCTGTAACTTTTATTTCTTAGCTGTAGATATAGAGACATCCTGAACGTAATCCCCCAAAACCTACAAATTCGTACTTACTACTGTGAACAATTGTCCTGGTCCCAAACCATGAAAACAATACAGAATGATAATTTGTAAACACTCCTGCTCTGACTTCCTTCAAAAGAGTCAATGTAAGGGAAAAAAACACTATTACTGGCCTTCACATAAGCATTTTGTATTTAACTTTCTGGAAGTTTGAGAGAAAAGAGTTTCTGCCCAATCTTTTTTTTTTTCAAAATGCACATATTTTCATCAGCCAATTTAGAACTCTTAGACCAGAACTCTACTCAAATGGCACATCCTGTCCAGATTTGGACAGAAGAAATTTTTCTCAGGGTCCCAGACGTGTGATGTCTCCTGCAGCCCTTCAGGACTGTCTATTTTGTATTACTTTCCTAGGCCCCTAGGCAAGCAGCTCCAGCATGCTGCTACTATTCTTTTACATTAATCCAAGACACCTGCACCAGACTCTTGCCCCTTCTGTGGTTTTGTCTTTCCCAATACCACGAGTAAAGCAGCGAGGTGGGGTGTTATCACAGGACATAAAAACTCCCAATGCCCATCCAGTCACAAATTGCTTTATAATGTTACCTCACGATGAACTTGGACTTACATAAACTGAATTTGGTCACATTCAGATCAATTTTTAATAGGAATGGCTGAAGGTAAGCCCTGGCACAAAGGCTATGATTTTGAAAAGAACAAAACAAAACAACACTTTCAAGGAAAAGGTGCTACAGTATTTTTGTCAATACAAATTACGTATTTTTTTTGTTAGCTTCTTTCTCAGGAGCATCTTACCTCTTTCACTTTAAGCTCCAAGATGTACATGAATTTCAAGCTAAGGACTTCATGCATTTGTTAAAACAAACTTGTGAATAACCAAAGACAACAGGATCTAAACATGTCCCTCAAGCTAATATGTGAAAATAAACTAGGCAGATGAGTCTGCTCGAATTTGATTCACGCGTTTTAATCAATACCATTCTCATTTGTACTATTGCTCTTGTCTCTGACCCACCCGTGATATGGATGACAAGGCTGCAGCCCCCCTGCCGTGCCCAAAGCCTTGGCAGCACTGGGAGCAGCGGTGGCTGTAGGAGGCAGGACACTGTCCCCTTCTCCGCAGCATGGGCACAGGCTCCGCAGCAGCACTGTGCTTGGCTCTAGCCTTCAAAAAACAAGCAAACGCTTTACAATAGCATTTTTCCCCTTTTTCTTTGCAGGTGATTTTTGACATAAGAAATATCTCACTTAAATAGCAGGCAAGGAAATATTGATGAGTCTCGAAGAAAACCTTTGCCCTCAATATCTGGGGAAGAGAGACTGACACTGACTAGGTTATCACTAGAACTCTCCCACTATAAGCTTACTAAGATAATGGTGTTACACATAGTTTTTTAGTATAACTTAGTCTAATTTTAGATTCTGATACAAATAAATTGCTAAAAGTAGAGTAATAAAAAAAAAAGTAACAGAGTTGTTCAATGCTCTATAATATTTCCCAACTTCCTTTAACATAACTATGCTGTGCATTAGCTCTTACTAAGTAATCTACTAGATCACTGCATGCCTGGATGTTTTATCTATCAAATATTAAGATGTATTCAGCAAGATGCCAGACTTGTACTGCAAACCTTTGTCAGTATTTCATTTCCTCTGCTTTCTTTAGTACCTAATTTGGAATCTGCAACATTTGACTGCCATTCTCCTCGCTTCAAGTCTCTGGGAAATAGATAATTTAATAAATTTAATTTAAATTTAAAAACCAGCTGCTTTTACCTATTACTGGAGAACTCTCTAATCTTCCTTAAAGTCCCTCACAAGTGTTTCTTGTTCAACATAGTCCAACTATCCTAAAAATCTCTCCTTTTCATTATTTACATTCAGCCTTACCCTAAGATCCAGCAAAAGCTGATTGAAAAATAATGCTGAAATTTGTTTAATAGCACTATCAAAAATTTGTTACCCATGAGGGAGGGTGAATGACATTTCAATGATTTCACAGGGATGGGTAACTGCAAAGGAGATGTACATCTACAAATCAATGATGAATTAATTATAAGACCAAGTAAACTGTCTTTATTCCCTTAAAATTTTCATTTGCTACTCGTATGGCATCTGATAGCAAATGTCAGCCAAAGTCAGTCTATAACATCAAGACTCTCTGATGCAAATAAAAGATTTAAAACTTTTCTTTCTGGGAGAACGTAAGAAGCAGCAGAAATGAGGAAAAACAGCAGAGAAATAAAAAGCAGTGAACAGAACCTGGAACATTGATTTCATCCTTACTCACTAAATAGTTTCAAACTATTATCCTGATGATAGCGCTCTTCCCAAGGAATGCCTTTTCACTGGGGACGAAACAGATCTCCAGCCATCTTTAAGTTGACGGGTTATCATTTAACTGCTTCATTTGGACAACTTATTTCATGAGTGATGGTCCCTGTTCCTAGAATATGCAGGTATGAATATTAAACGCTGCTAGTGACTCGCAGAGCTGAATTCCCACTGCCTCTATTTCCCTGACTTTGCTAAAACATTATCCCAAGAAATCAATACTTTACAATAAGAGCTACCACCATCAGCTGAATTATGGTCTGGAAAAGGAAATCCTCTCCAGTGCACCAAACCTTGAATTTGAGTAGAAATACTTCCTACCTCAAGATCAACCTAGAATCTGATTTCACTCAAGCACAGAATGCATGAAGCTAGCTGCAACACAAACACGTTCCTAGCCCAGGAAAAACTTACAGTTTGATGTTATAAATTACCTAGTCAACAATCACATCATGTATTTTCCATGACAAATGTATCACACCTCAGCACTTCAGGAATTAAATGATAGTATATCACTGAACTTACTCCCTATTGCAGACATAGGTAAGTAACTCAATGGTACTGTGATAACCGAGAAATCTTCACATAAATCAAAGTCCAGATAGCCAAGTGATGAGACCTCAAGATGGCAAGAGCTTTGAGATGACCTGGCCTGTACTTTTCCTTTAAGATGCATACACTGAAGACAGCAAAAGGGATTTTAAACTCTTAAATATTAATAAAATATACTTAACATTAAAACAGGTTAAAGATAAAAAAGCAAAAAACTTGGGAGAAAGAAGGAAAAAAAACCTAAGTCAATCTCCACTGCTAGGTTTTTCCTTGCTGGGCAGGTCCTTCCTTCAGCTTTGCCAAATCTTAGCCTGGCAGCTTTCAATGGCCTCCTCAGCTGCAACAAGCTCTGAACAGTCCTCTCTAGATATGCACATCTCTCTTCC